TCCGCATAATGATGCAGAAGGTTCGCACAAAGCACTTGTGCATACATTAAACACGACAGATCTCTCAAGAAAGCTGAACGAAGAAAGAGACGCTTTGCAAAGAAAAGAAAACAAGGCAAAGAATATTAGGACGAAGTGCCGATAGTCACGGATAGATGAAGACATAGCCTGTTTAGTGTATAACTGCAGTCATTGCTATCGATCATCAGTGCAGAACTGCAGTAGCTACCGATATCTGTCGCAGATTTTGTGCCGCAGCCTGCGCCCCCGCCTCCCGGTCGGTCGCCGTCGTAAATGGTGCCACGAACCCAGCTCAACACTTGCCTTCATATTGCCAATAGACTGATCCCTTTGACGCTGTCGGAGAGGAAATTGGATATGTCACAGAGGCTCGACCCTCAGGGGGGACGCCGACATTCGCTACATAATGGAAACTTTTGTTGCATAGGCTGAAGGAACGCGGTCCGAAGAAAAAGCAATAGATATATTTTTATGTTAGATTAACCCGCGCACCGACGGGGGGGGGGCGGATATCCGCCCCCCCCTGAGGTTTTTCGCGAATAGCGGGAAAACCGCGGCGCGTAGCGCCGCGAAATTTGGTATGACTATTCCCTTATCAATTTTACACATGGTGTGCAAGTTTGAACCTCCTACCTTTCAAGGTCAGGTCACCAGGTCACTTTGAATGACCCAACCTCAAGTCACTTTTTTGCAACTTTGTCACCGTGCCAGAGCTACAGTAGATGTCGGAGGCCTTTGAAAGTCGCAGGATGTTATTAGGTCATTAGTAGCTACAATTTGTATATCTCGGAATTTTGATATCGGTGACCTAAGGTCAGGTCAATTTCGCGACCTCCCCATTATAAGTCAATGGGGGAAAAATCAACTCCCTGTTTTTACCACTAAAACGGGTCGGAATGGCCCCATATACCATACATGACTTCATATACGATCAACCTTCACTACCTTGAGGTCTGTTTTGCTGTTGGGCAGCTGTGAGGTCATGTGACGTCATCAAAGGTCACCAAAGGTTTTTGGCCAATAACTCCGTACAGGAACAAGATACAGACGCGTGGATGGTCTCATTGTGTTCAGCTCGTCAAGACGCATCGAATGATATACATGATGACCTCGAGGTCACGTGACCTGAGGTCAACCTTTGACCTTGACCTTTCGAGGTCAACATATATATCATTCGATGCGGATTGACGAGAGGATCACGATGATGCCCTTAGTTTGCTCCTATCTTGACTAATTCGAAAGTTATTCGAGAAAAACTCTCTCCATATTTAGCGCCGCCATTTTGGCTTTTTCGACCCCTGTGACGTCATCTTTGACCTGACCTGAAAATGACCTTAGTAAAAATTGTAGATCTTGACCGTGCGTATCCGATGCCGTTTACCGCTTGTCGCTATCTTGCTTCGTTCTCGAGATCTCAGGGGGGGGCGGTCATCCGCCCCCCCCCCGTCGGTACTAAGTTGGCGCAGACCCCCGTCGGTGCGCGGGTATCGTAGTCGGCTAGTAACACCTTTTATATTTTTAATGAATGTTAAATGTTTTATAGTTCTCATATGACTCAGTAAAATTGTGATGTGTCCTCTGTCATTTTCATATTAGGAGGATCTTACATATTCCGGGATTCAAAGATGACAATTTGCCGGCGAAAGACGGCAGCATGTTTTGTTTGCGATAACAGTGCAGAAATGGCAGAATATATTGTTCCTTACACTGCAGTAGGTATACACGCCATTTCAGTCAAGTTGACTCGATATTTATGTCAGCACGCACAGAAATTATAAATAGAACAGAAAGTTATTTGATTTGTTCATACTTGCTACGCAAGAAACCGATATCCCGAAATTAGTGTGGATGCGTCCTCAATCAATATCATTTTAAAATCGTTCTTCTTATCCACCATTCAGTGGCAAAACGACCATGTTTTGTTGGTTGAAATATTGATGACCTTGATCAATGTTTGTTCAGTCTCTGCTTCATTTATTTTCTGCACAATGGGCCATTTATCGAGGCTCTTTGTCCATCAGCAGCACTAGATTGGATTCTGTGACGCGTGAAATGACTTTTGATTCAAAGGCACACCAATATGGTCGCGCAATGAAAACAAGGTTTTCTGAGTGTGGCTGAAACCGATATTGACATTGACAAAAGGCAAACGTTTATAAGGCCGTGTTTGTTCGCGAGGTCTGGCGAAACGATGCGTTTACCGAGCTATCGTATCATGGCCTTTTTTGGTCTGTTCAACGAACATTAAACATGTGCATGTAACTGAGTGTTATCGCTAGTTGGATATTTGAGTTTGGCTCTGTGTGGGAGGGATACTTCGAGAGGCCACTGGAGAAACTGGCACTCCTGAATTGTGAGAAGCTAGAGATCAGTGGCGCCCCGAAAGACCACCAGGAGACTGTTGAAAATTGACAGTTGTGCAGGCATGGACGAGATTTGCAGTGGGAAACCGCAGTTCACTATTAGTTAGCAGACTATAAGGGCATTTGAATTAGAGAATCAGTTTGAGTGAGGATCATAGAGGCACTTGAGAGGACTATTTTGGACTTTTCTCCCGAAATTCAGTCCTCTTTCATTCTGTCACCTCAAAACTGACGTCTCTGATTTATCAGCTGTATGTAATCTCCCACCGCTGCAGACTTTTGACTTCCCGACTGCGCTGTATTTTTTTTTCAGTAATCCTGGTAATTGGTAATTCGGCTTACGAGCCACCACAGTGTTGCGTTTGGGCCCGGTTCTGTTTGTTCGTCCGTCCGCGTTAGCAGTGTTTCACAAAGGTATATACCAAAGGGCAGATGCGGTTTTGGCTAGCGAAAGTGAACAGATTGTCGGAAAATAAATGATCATTTTTACGGTGTGGGTGAGGTCTCTGAGGTCATCCGAGGCCAAAAGTAGCCGTTTTCACGACGAGCTATCTAGTGAACGGACCTAATTTGGCCAAATCGGCACCAAATCTTTTTACCACAAAGAGAGAGTGAGAGAGAGAGAGAGAGAGAGAGAGAGAGAGAGAGAGAGAGAGAGAGAGAGAGAGAGAGAGAGAGAGAGAGAGAGAGAGAAAGAGAGAGAGAGAAATAGAGAAATAGAGAAAGAGAAAGAGAGAGAGAGAGAGAGAGAGAGAGAGAGAGAGAGAGAGAGAGAGAGAGAGAGAGAGAGAGAGAGAGAGAGAGAGAGAGAGAGAGAGAGAGAGAGAGAGAGAGAGAGAGAGAGAAAGAGAGAGAACTTTGTATTTACAGACACTTGGTCCAATTCTACCAAACATCATATATCAAGGCGCTATCAGAGCAGCGTTCCATGCCACTCTAAAGGGTGAGTGCCACCCTATGTCACATTTAACCAATACACTGATAATGATATTTTTCGAATCATATAAACGCTGCACGAAACACCACGCTGCTTTTCGGAACATGACATCAAAGTTATCGAGACCTTCAGACACATACATAGCCGAGGCACTGCAAAATCTATCATAGCCGAAAAAGATTCTGACTGCGTTGTTTAAAGGTAGACTGCCACCTTTTTTCACAAAACGGTTTTCACTAGAGCTGAGCCACCTATGTCCCAGACTGAAGTCGGTTTTCCGAAATTCGAACCCGTTTGCGAGAAATCGGAGACCAAAGTTCAGTTTGATGCCATTTTTTTAGTCCAAGAAAACCGACATCTCTACTGTTTATCGATAACTTTGAAACATGAATTTTCTTATCTTTTGGCAAATATATGTCAAAACTTTGATTGTTTCGAGATCAGAGAAGAATTTTGGAGTGTCAAAATAAAAGTTAAACTTATATATTCAGTAGTTCATTTTTTCAAAAAAGCGTGGGAAATGGGGTTTAACATGGGCCAGACCCATTCCAAATAAAGCCATGATTTTTAAATGTTTTACGAAGTTAAATGCAAAATAAATTAAACACGGCCAATTTCTTATGAAATCATATATTAGTAAATCATAAAATACCTTACTTTTTCAAATAAAATGTAATAATCTTATGACCTTGAAGTCTAGTGATGTGTAAACATTGTCGCTAGACATTAACCGATGATAATTGTATGATAATCGATAATTTTTCGCGATTCACGTGATGATACTTTGTCAGGTGAATTCTAAAATTTTGTTTTGTCCAGGGAATAAATCATAGGCCGGTCTGAGAAAACTTTTTGAAGGTGGCAGTCTTCCTTTAAACACACTTTGGATTTTCTTATAAAAAGGAGCGCTGTACACGCGCCATAACTGAACACAGTACACATTTGCACAATACGCAGTAAATAGGACGCTTTTTTACGGAGTACGAACACATGCCGAATTTGCGAATGAGTGAGTTCGTTCTACAACACAACAGGCGATACTGCTGCTGAATCTCGAGGTCATCACGCAAATTGTCAGTCAAGTGGAACCCAAGATATTTATATTCATTTACAACTTTTAAAATTGTGCCACATAGAGACAACTCGGGTGTTTTGAGGTCCTTCAACGATTTTGAACGCATAATCATGCACACTGTTTTCTTAGTATTGTATTTAATATCATGATCAACTGCAAATTTTTCACAAGTATCCAAAAGAACTTGTAATTTGTAAACTTGCAACTTGTAACACAAAGGTCTTCATGTCATGAATTTATTTGTGTTTTATTCGAAAATATTGCCTTATAATTTCAAAAATGCTTATAAGCATCTGTGTTGCCCAAACTGATAAGTTTTAAGAAACAATGAACCTAATTTGATCAAATCTGCTCCAAATCTGCACCTAATCTGCACCAAATGTGGAACAGATGGCAGTCGTAAAAAGGGCAGCATATCGGCAACTTTGCCTGAACTCAGGGTCACAACTACTAACGACCTGTTTGGTCACCAATCCCTGTGAAGCCGTCTGACCCCCGGGTCACCAATGCTGGTGAATTTATCCGACCCCACTGTGACCGGCCGCCGCGTCGGCCGCGGCTGCGCCGGTTCCGACGCTCCGTCTCCGGCTCCGTCGCCGGCGGCAGTGCGACTCCGGCGGTGACGGTGCCCGCCGGTCTCCTCCGTGGAGATGGTGCCGCCACGCGCCGCCAGAACGGTGACAGTGGTGATCGTGGTGACGGTGGTGCTGGTGCTGTCGGTCGAATCACTCGGGGAAGGTGAGTGCCCCACTCTAGTTAGATTAGCTTTTCACGCTCTTAGGGTCAGCATGTGCTCTTTTCTGTGGGAATTTTGTAACGAGATTAAATAAATTTATTATCTTACTTTTCTGAATCAGCGAACGTATGTACTTGGAAAATTGTTTTGTTAAGACGAGCTTTTTTGCCTTTTCAAACGTGACAATGTAGAACTTCCTGTTTGATTTTTAAAAGCCATGATTGTTTTATTTGTGCCGACCGCCAAGCCAATGTTATCGAGCCGTTAATGCCATGCTTGATGTGTAATTGCCACTACAGTTAAGTGCCCTCACATACATACTAGGCCCTCACCCTTTCTATTTGAGTCCTACAGACAGTTTCTGAGAGGCCGGCCTCTCCATAATTCTTCCCCCTGCCCGTGTAACCCAGCTAGTCCTTTGTGCCTGGGTGCATGCTCGGGACAATTAATTCAGTTCGACCATTGTCCGGGCGTCATGTGGGGGACCGGTGGCCATCCATTGGCTTAGCGGGGCTTATCGCAGCCCGGGGGGATTCGGGTCGGCAGCGGGTCTGACGTCATCAGAATTGGTCGGCAAACACACAGCCACACAGTTGACAAAAGGAAGGTTTCGGTTTCATGGGTTGAGCGCGCTGAAAGAGAGAAGACATGTTGCGACCCATTTCATCGGATTTTTTTACGAATAGAAAGTGTTGAAAATGTCTCTTTTGCATGATATTTTCGGTGCCTGGTTCGGGAAATGTCATCAGATGCACCAACGACAATACTTTTAGGTAACAACTTTTATTCATAGGTCAGGATTCAGCTCGCTGTATCATACCACATTTCTTTTCAGGCGTAATAAGATAGCAGTGGCACTGAGCTGGGCTCGGATGTGACTGAGTGATACGGCGATACGCGATGTTCTCTGGCTTCGGTCGCTCAGAGTCAGCTCCTTCAACGATTTCGCTTGCCATGCCCATGGGCAGAGCCTATTGTGTTCCTGAAGTGTTTCACTCTGGGGCTAAAAATATCATGAGTGTCCCGAATGAAGCCATGTTTGGCAACGTGACCCCGTCCGGGCCGCTATTGACTGCACTTACTAGTGGATATTCCATGGGGCTAACGACACACACCCAGACTTAGTCGGTCCCAATAGCCCCGTTAGCGATCGGCCATTACCGGCGGAAAGTTGCCGGATCATGCTGATGGCCCCCCGTTCGACGATGGACGCTCAAACGACCGCCCATGGATCACTGACCGGTGACACATCATTGATACCAGGAAATTATGAAGACCAATGGCTTTGATGGTTTGTCTCGGACGGTCGTGCAATGAATATCTACACAGCCTCGATACTATTAGGCTCCAATAGTAGACAGACTCTTGTTTTCTAGGTATAATTTCTGACCTTCTTAGCGCCGATGATCTACATTGTACGGAGTGAACGGACGCCCTACATCATAAGTAGCTCAAAACACATGTGGCTTTTGTCTATAATACAAAACGCCAAGATCAATGGTTTGGAAGCTCTCGAGTGCTTGGCATGTACCTACGTCGATAAAACAAAAGCGGTGTCTTGCACACCGTTTGAAGAGCATTTAACAGAGGCATTTCCTTCTTCATTGCGAAAAGTTTTCCTTCATTTCCGTAATCGTGCACCATATCCCCTGCGAGTCATCTAAATGAGATCAGGAGAATCGTGATTGGAAAAGGGACCCTATTGGGTGATAGGAAAACATCGTGGATCATCGCACATTTCTCGGGGGAAAACAGGCAATGTTTGTTTGGCGATCTAGCAAAAACACTGATCGGTACAGCCGTGTTTTCTGCTGATACACCACCCAGTCATACCCGAAAAGCTGCCTCGGCTATTGGTGCTAGTGGCTAGTGTGCTAGTGTCGTGCTAGTGCGCCGACACAGACACCCAGACACCTCTTGACACTATCCCGCGCAGCCGACGCAAGCCGGCACTGTTACTGCTGCCCGACACCAGCCGGCATACCTGACACAAGCTGTCGCCGCCGATCACCATAAGATATTGCGCGGCTGCGGCTGAGACCCCTGCCGCAGCAGCCACCTTCCGGCAGCCCCGCACGCCTGCTCATCAATGATCGTTTTGGATCCTCCGGCCCACTGGCCTCCACCGATATTCCTCCTTGCCCTGATCCGGATCGCGCCCTGTCCCCGTCCCGTACCCGCGGCGGGCCTCTGGACTCCACCCTGTCCTGTCCTGTCTCCTTGACTTGCGTCGGACGCCGCCCTGCCCTGCCTGTCCCCCTCGACTTGCCGTCGGAGCGGGAGCGATGATCGGCACCGGCCGCCGACACCAGGCGGCCGACCCATCGGTTTCGACGGCGTCCGATCGTCGGCGGGCCCTGACGTATCGGCGTGGTGTCCCCGGCCAATTGCTCTGTCGTCGAAGACGGGTGGCGCGCGCCGACGACAGCGCGCCGAAAAAGACGCCGCCGAACCGCCTTTGTTCGCCGCCGAAATGCGCGCGAATTTTCGTCCAGCGCTCGGAGAAAAACGACAGGGTTTCACTGAGGAGATGGGAAACTGAATCACCGCTGCACGGCCCGCGGAAGACTGGATTTCAAAATGATCGCGGATCGAGGAAGAGGATCACAGAAATGCGGCAGGCAGCGGTGTTTTGTACGAAAGAAATCTATGCTCACTGAAATAAAATGCTATATCTGTCGAATGAATTTGATTTTGTAGAACAATCATCGATTGCGCTGGTGGAAAATATAGCTACATATAATTGATACGTCTTCGTGCTGTGCTTACCGGAATCGGACACTAATCCCCTGAAACTAGCGGCTGATTTTCGTGCTCTCTAGCGCGCCGTTCCAATGTCGGGCGGAACCAATCGGTTCAGCTCGGTGGGATACCGTTCAAACCGGTCGACCCCTGAAAGTGGATACTATTCCTGGTGTGGGCCTTTTGCATATCCTTGACAGGGAAGATTAACGATTCAGCTGCTGGCGAATAGCTGCCACTGAGGTGGCGCGGTGGCGCGGTGGCGCGGCCACCTCGGCAGCGCGCGGCCGGTTCTCTATTGATCCGATGTCACACCGTGCAGCGGGCCGCGGCCCGGTGAGGCCCGCACTAAAGTGGCCGCAGTAAATCCCTCATACGGGATGGACGGCGCACACACTCAAGATGCCGCTCCGCACTGCGCTGAAACACTGCTTAGATAAATTAATTTATCCTGAAAGTTGAAGTTTGACATGGGATCTGCGGCGGAGTGAGCTGTAAGTGGCCGCCCGCCGGCCGCTGGCCGGCTAGGGAGGAGCTCCGATATCGGACCAATTACTCGGTGGCGCGCGGGCTCACCAGGCGACAAACTCGTGCCCGGACGAGATTTACGGCCGAATCCGGCGGCACCTCCTCTTCCGGATAAGTTCCGGCGAAATTGAGCCGGTCCGTCGGCCGTGGCCGGGCCGCGCTCTCTGGCTGGTCTGAGCCCGAGGGCCCCGGACTATCGCCGGGGGCAGGCACCGCCAGGCGCCAGAATCGCTGAATCTCCGCCAGCAGAATTATTTAGAGTGCCATAACTATGCAATGCGGTCTTCACATTTCGCGATCTCGGAGCTTTCATTTTCATTCCATGAGTTAGGAGTGAGATAGAGGATGTATTTTTCGAATATTGAAAATTCAGATGCAATGGGGAAAAGGATGGGGTCAATAGCACATGCATGTGACTTGTGAGTCATGAGCTATGGCCGTATCACCTTAGCATGGGTAAAAAAGTAGTGTAGTATAAATTGTTCTACTTTTTAGACAAAAAAAAAAAAAACATGTCATGTGTTCCTTGACCATCATATCATCATATGGCAAACTATTGCAACACATCTTTCTTTGGCTGAGAGGCGAGTGTTTTCCTTACAAAATATGGAAATAAAATGATGCGCGTCGTGCATAAATCCCCGAAATATGAGAGGCCTTTGCCTACCAAACAGCCTTGCGGTTTGTTATTAATCTCGTGGCTTCTCCTCGGTCTAAATTTGTCATGGCTGTGGCGGAGATGTATGTCGTCTTATCTGCTATCCTTTGTTCCAATCCCATCCTTCAGTTTTATGGCGTGTCCCAAACCAAAAAGCATTGGATGTCACCGTCCTGATAACACGCTGTTGACATCTGACACTGAAGGATGGCCTCAATAAAGCGTTTGATTTAACGCTGAGGGCCAATTCATCACACCGAAATATTAGGCCACAGTCTATTAAACACAAATGCAGCCAATAGGCTGCATTTGTGTGTTTATTTTTGTTTATTTTTATTTTTGTGCATAATTATCAAACTCACACACTATATCTAATTTTACAACGTATTTTGTGTTTTGTAAACGCTGATAAAATAATATTGCCTCCCTCTCATTCATATCTCCCTCCTATTTGAATGCTCCTGGTAAATTGAAACGAGCACGTAGCAGATTGGGGAGCAATTAAACTCAAGCGTAAGATGTAGTCTTCCAAGCTCCACAGGTCGGGAGTGAGAAAAGATTAGTACGCGAGGATATGTTATATTACACACATGATGCACCGTCAGCAACCACCTCCGTCTGTCTGCCGACAGAGCTGGAGCGGGCGCCGCGCATCATCGAGCACCCGTCGGACGCCACGGTGCCGCGTCTCAGCCCGGTCACGCTCAACTGTCAGGCCAGCGGCTCCCCCAGTCCGCGGGTGCGCTGGACCAAGGACGGCCGTCCGGTGGCGCCCACCGCCCACCGAGTCCTGCTGCCCCGCGGCTCACTGTTCCTGCTCAGCGTCCGACGTCGCGACGCCGGCGTCTACTGGTGCACGGCCGACAACTACCTGGGCAGCGACACCAGTCGCAACGCCACGCTCCTGGTGGCAGGTCAGTGACAGAGGGAAGCCGGACGGGATATCAAGGGTGGCGGGCCAAAGACAGGGAACAGGGCGAGGCGGGACAGGTAACAGTTCCGTGGTGAATCAGCTCGGCTGAAGAGATCAGGCTACAATGGGTGACAGGTGAAAGAAAGACCTAATCCTTGCCACGAAATTAATTGTGCTAAAATTATTTATGCTAAAATTAGCTCCACTTCAAGATAAACGTTCCCCGTTCAATACGTCAGCTTTAGTTTCGCTAGTATCCAGTAGCCCCGGCCAGGTCAATGATCGGTCCGGGCCACCCATTCGGTCAGGTCAAGGACCGGTCAGCACACTCTGGCTGGCTGGTCTCCCAGTAAAGCTGAGAGCCTCGGCGGGCGTCTAGAGAGCCGATCTCACACAATGGTGGCCACAATGCCCCCGAACAATGGCCGGCCATGGTGGCTGGCCTCGAATCAGCACCCGGCGTATAATACTCGGGGCAGATGATAAGGAGAGAGAGAGAGAGAGAGAGAGAGAGAGAGAGAGAGAGAGAGGGGGGGGGGGGGTAGGGAGAGAGGGAGAAGGAAAAAAGCGGACAGATGCTAGTCAAGAGCAAAATATTGGTAAAGTTTGGCATGAATGATGGAACGCTACTGGTAGAGAAATATATTTTCAGAAGCGCAGTTCGGAGAAAAGCATTTGTCGTTCCGGCCGACAGACCGCTGCTGGTGTGCAGCGAGCCTTTCCCACGGGCCACTGCGGCCGGCGGCCCCAGGTGCGGCTATTGGCAGCTAATCCATCACGGTCCGGCCGTCCCAGGGGCGCCGGTACTGCCCCGTCCGCCGGCCCTTCGTCCGCCCGCCGCGCCGCGCCGGCTGGCAGTGGCAGCCGCCTGGTGCGTAGGCCGACCCGCGGACAGCCCTGTGCGGCGGTACAGCCTAACCACCCAGATGTCTACCCGCGGAGCGCGCTCGGCTGAGGCACAAGAAACGAACCGGACGACGAAATCGCGATTAGATCCGGAGATGGCCCTTGAAATTCTATTGCAAATGAAATTCCTGGTTTAAGACTTGAATAATAAAATCACTTCACAAATTCCGACTTTTAAGTCCCCGCACCTGACCCTGCATGCCTATTACCCACAGTCCAAAACGTAGATTTGAAGCGAATCGGCCCCCGCCCACCTGTCGACTCAGAGCCGGGGCTTTATCTGAGGCGCGTCGCGCGTGTCGTCAGCTGCACCTGTTGGGTGAGAGAGGGCGCTGGACCATTTCCGGAGCCGACTACTCCGGCGCACAGGCTCTCTATGGCCGCCACATTATCGCGGTCCATAAAGCGCACGGTGCGGGCCTCATTAGTGTGAGACAGCGCCGAACGCTCGTCCCGGGCCGCGATGGCAGGTCATGAGGCACAACATTAGACAAACTGCTCGGAAACTGTGATAAACGACGCCTGCCTCCGGGTCTATATATCTCTCGCCGGGATAAAGATGTGTGGTGAACGGGCGGGTGCTCCAGAAACAGAGATGGCACGGCACAGATATCTGCCCTTGGTAATGAGCCGACCGAAAACGTTTACCCAAAAATTATGGGTCAAAAAGAATGGAAAATACAGCGACATTTAAGTGACTAATAGAAACTCTCAAGTGATTCCACTTAATTTATATTTGCACCTTCATTTTATTGCTAAAACACCAATTAGAGGATGATTAAAACGTGGACTACACCACAACTTTATCAAAAGAACAGATATGCACTCATTTACGCTCACAGACGAACCACGCGTCATTTGCCGTTTTCACCCTGCGTGCGGTATCTATTCACTCTATCTAATAGTCAGCACTCAGCATTCAGCAGTCTCGTAGTCTGAGAAGTGCTCGATAGGCGTTATCACAAGACACAAGTGTATTCGCGGCCATTGGGGCGACGTAAGAAAAGAAGAAAACAACTGGCCCCAAGAACTTTAAATTTCAGTTAGCATGCACCTTTTACTTGATGTGTAGAGAATTTACCATTAAAGGGAGATAATGAGCTTTCTTTTTTCTTAACCCGCGCCCTGCTGGGGGGGGGGGTGTTTGAACACCCCCCCCCCTTGTGGTTTTTCGGGAATATCTCAAAAACGGCGGCGCGGAGCGCCGCCGTTTTTGGTACACCTTATCATACATCAATTCTACACATGTTGTGAAAATTTCAGACCAAGGTCATTCAAGGTCAGGTCACCAGGTCACTTGAAGTGACCTCACCTCATAAAAAGTTTCAATGTCTGTCATAGCTACACCGAGTGACCGATCGCTTTGAAACTTTCAGCGATTGCTAAGAGCAATAGCATGTACAAAATGTATATCTCAGAATTTTGATATCGATGACCTAAGGTCAGGTCAATTTTGCGACCTCCCCATTATAAGTCAATGGGAGAAAATTGAAATGCGCCTCTTTTGGACGAAAGACATTATAAACACTCCCAAACACTGAATTACAAGTGGTTTAGACACACTGAACATGAAAATGGTGTCCGTGACCCCTGTTTATGCCCTGAGGTCATCTTAGGTCACGAATGGTATCTAACAGTTTTTCGCAAATAACTGTTGATAGAGGCATGCTAGAGCGATGAAAACGCCTTAGATGTGTTCAGCTCGACGATACGGATCGACTGATATGCAACATGACCCTTTCCGGTCAGGTCATGACCTTGACCTGAGGTCAAATTTTCAAGTTGACCTTTCAAGGTCAAGTTATAGTTCATTCGATGCGTCTTGACGAGAGGAACACGATGCTGGTAAAAGTAAGCTCGTACAAGGCTTGGGTCAAAAGTTATTGCAGAAAAACTGTTTCCGAAAAAATCGGCTATTTTTGCAGTTTTTGCCCCCTGCAGGCAAAACCGTTGACGTTAGGTCAAATCTGAGAGAATTACTCAGAAAGGGCGTTAATAGGGCTATCGAATGCGCTTTTCCGCGGCGCTGTAGCTCTATTGGTTCCCGAGTTATGCGCTGGCTTCTTGGAAATTGTCGACATTCGACCTGGAAATCGGCGAAATTTTGCCTTCAATGACCTCTGGCGACCTGACCTTTGACCTGACCAAAAAATTGACCGAAGTGATTTCCTCATTATTTTTGACGCTCTTTCGAACGCCGCCTTCCGCGTATCGCTACGTGGCCCAGGAGCCGAGTTAGAAGGGGGGGGTGTTCAAACACCCCCCCCCCAGCAGGGCGTGGAAATCCAGGACCCCCAGCCGGGCGCGGGTTAAATAAAAATTACTCGACATCTATATTATTTCTACTGTAGTTTTTATAAAATATGAAAATTTCCTAGCACATTTTCGTATGTGAAAAAGGTTTTTATTTTTGCAAAAAAGAAGCAGTACTTGCAGTACTTGTAACACCCACCGAAATGCGTTGTCCTTCTCTATAAAAAAGTCGCAGTATATGGCGCTTTTGTTTCAAACAGCGACGCTTGGGTTTTTGTTTATGTTATCGCCTTGTCGTTGCTTGGTTGTAAGGATTCTAATGTGAATTAGAGTTAATGATATTTCCTACATTTATCATGCTCCTCGCAACAGCTCTCAACGATATACGAGGTTTAGAATTAATTAGATCCTAATTCGGGGGTACATAGTGCCTACTCTTCTTTGTTTCCAAGTATTATTTTGCGCCACAAATGAACGGCAAGCGCCAGAAACGCAGCCAAATCTTGCGATTGCGACTACGAAATTCATTATTTTGGCCTCAGAGCCTGAAGCGAAAAATACAAGCATATTTATTTCAAAAAGACTTCAGGTTTGTCGAACGGTGTTATGAGAATTTTGATAACAGTACTGCATAAGTTTTTCAGTGATGCCGCAAAAGTGTTGTATCTATCTTCTTTTATTGTGCAGTCGGCGGGACCGATTCAAAATTGAGTCGTTGCTACTAAAATAGCAGCATATGGCGTCAGATGATGAACAGGAAAAATAGTTGCGTAAATTTAGACATAAACCACCCCCAAACCATGAATATCTTTTGAAGGCACTATAGACGACCATTAACTAACTAGATGTGATGAAGATCAAATGTAATGAATACGCTCATTTTACAAAATTAAATGCAAGTACCAAAAGTGATGTAAGTACTTATTCAACGGTCATTTTCAGCGCTCCCCGCTAACGTGACTTCAAGTTGAGATATTTGCGGCAAGGTACCGAATTGAGCAAAATGGTTTTAATTTACATTATAACTTGTTGTGTTTTGTCAGAAAATGGTCCTAACTCAGATTTTGTGGAAAAAGGTCATAATCTCCCTTTAACTGTTAGAGAAAATTGCAATTAAAATCTTCCATTTATGCTTTTTTCATCGTTTGCACAATATGTTCTTTTACTAAGCTAGAAGCACTAATTAGAAATAGTTCCCGCATCATCGTCAAGAACAATAGGGAAGGCTTGAAGTTAATACAATAATCTAAACGGTTTTGTAATCCATGTGAAGACACTTCTAAAATTGCCTGTCATGTTCCGCCCTATGCGACACGAAAAAAAAACTCAATTCACGGCATGAACAGTTTTTGAAGTGTCAGTTCCGCTCTATGCGACCCGACAAACCCTGACGAACCCTATAAACCGGCGGCGAGCTGACAGTTTCGGTAGTGTCGCTCCCGCCCTATATCCCGGCAGTTGCTGGGGTATTTCGCCACCCACCGTTTGCTAGGGGGGGGGGCGTTAAACGCCCCCAGCCGATAACTCGAGAACCAATAGGCGCAGCGAAACGCACGAGACGGCAAACGAAAGAGCGCGACGAGACGCTTCAGATGAGTACTTTATAGTTGAATTTTGAGGTCACAGGTCGGGTCAAGGTCAGGTCAAACACCTGAAATCGGGCTTTCAGTAGCATGGACTTTAGGGCTTCGCAATGGGCGCCTCTCGTCATAAACGTTGTCAAAACGGTGCACAATCCATCATATAAGGCCTACAAGAGTGTCAGCTCCATGTAGGGGTCAGTCAAGCATAGGTCAGGGTCAAGGTCAGGTCAACCGGGTAGGCACATATCCCCGAAAATCA